AGTGATTTCTCAGGGACTGGAAGAGAGATCCAGCTCAGCCATGGAGTCTCCATTCCAGTAGGAGTTGCACTAGTGGAAGCTCAGGGACTGAAAGGGGCACCAAGATGAAACACCTCATGTCCCCCCAGTGGGTGTCCCAGTCAGTGATTTCTCAGGGACTGGAAGAGAGAACCAGCTGAGCCATGGAATCTCCTTTCTCGTATGAGTCACACATAAATGCTGTATACCTTGTATGAACAGGTATTGTACTGCAGCAGTCCCCAAAAGACTCAATAGACAGGTGGCGGAAGAATGGCAACGACGCAGCGACAGAGCAGCGGTACAATGGTGGTGGCGGTTTTGCACACCTAATATAGCTCCTGCGCAGGTGCAAATGAAACTTCACACACTCAGCCAACGGTAAACCCTGCAGTACTGTTTAACATATTTGCAAACATGTATTCAAATACATTTGTCATTCATCATAAAACCAGATTTTATCAACAAATGAGACATTACATTTCATCAAGAATGTTTTAGTAAAAACTTCAAGGAAAAATAGTAATAAACCCATGTGTCTTATTATGAATGAAACTTTGTGATTGACTGATGTTGTCAACAGGATTCTGTAGCCGTTGATTTCTTTGAAATTAAAGAGAAAGATATTAAGAAAAACATTCTGTAGCAATATTACTGTGAACTTTCTATAACTTATTTTATACCCGCAAAACAAAAATGTTATTGGAACATTTAAAACAACTTAATTAACAGGCCTTTACCAACATTTGTTCAGAAATTACCCCCCACCCTCACCCCTCAGGGACTGGAAAAGAGAACCAGATGAGAAGAGAGAACCTCAGAAGGACATGGGCCATATAGAGGACTATGCTACACTGCAAAAAATTATTCTCTGTGAATAAATGATCATAGCTAACACTACATTGGCAGAAATTATTACTTCCACCTTACCACAAACATGGATGGCATCTAAAATAAACTCAAACAAAATCTTGACTTATTATCTGGATACAAAACCATAAAAATAAACAAAATAAAGAACAGTCAATTAAAATGAAACCACCTAGGTATTAATTACTTTTATGAATAGTGATAAATACTAGATCTTCAAACATTAATATTTAGAGGAAACTACAGCTAATATTAAAAAAAACAAATCAGAAAATTAAAATGCAAATGGTTAAGTACACCACAAAGCCAAATGCCAACGGATTATATGAAAACAAGCTCTAAAACTATGTATCAAACCACACACATTGACCATGTGGGGAGGGGTAGAGATTTTCAAATAAAATAGACTTTGGATCCGAACGTCCAGAGATTCACCCTGTGGCAAACGGCTTGGTTACCAACAGACCAAACCACACAATTTCCCCCCTTTTTGTGCCTTTTCTCCACGCACCAATGTGCCTACTGTCCTTGTCCTATTGTTTTTTAATTTTCTTATATGTATCCATTTCATGTATTCATAATTATGTTTATACTGTTATCTTAGAATCGCTTGACAAAATAAAATAGACCAAACCACACAATTCCCCCCCACCTTTGTGCCTTTTCTCCTTAAATGCACCTGGGCTAAATTACCTCAGATGGAAATGCCAGAGACTGTGGCAAATGGCTCTAGTTAATAGACTAAACCATGAACAATTCATTATATTTCTTTGCCTCCCTTCTGACCAAGAGGCAACTCTAACCAGCCTCCAAGTAACAAAAACATTTAAAAATACAATATTAATAGCAAAATCAACTTTAATATTGATAAAAAGTTCACGTACAAGGGAGCCAGGTGCACAACAGGTGGAGGCAGAATCTGTTTTTAATCCGTTACCACTGTCACACCACCATCGATCCCTTTAGCTTTTTTTTTTTGTTGTTGTACAAATACGAACCGTGGCTAATTTTACTTTAACCCAAAGATCAACTTACTCTCTGGAAACAAGCTCTGGCTAGCATTAGACCCAAGCGCGCACACTTGGTATCAAAGAAAATACCCCGTGAATATGAACTACGGCTAATTTTCCTTCAAAGACAGGCGTCAACTTACACTCAGGAATCAACAGGCTCTCGCATCCGCTGTTTGGTTGGGGGATTCTGGCCACGGCTTTAACGCTCTCCGCCCCCCCCCCGCCCCCCAACAAAATCCTGCCCCTCGGCTAAACGCGAGGAAAGCAAACAGCTCCCGCCGCTCTTTAGCATCAGCTCTGGAGAGCCCTGAGTTCTTATATTTCGCGCCAGGTAGACCAGCCAATCAGAGAGCTCCCTGTGCTTCAGCCGTAGCCAATGAGAGCCCTCTCCACTGTTGCTGTCCTTTCCCCCCCCACTCGGCAGCTGAGGTGCAGTGGGAGGAGCTTCGGATGAGCGCTAGTTCCCTCCCGCTCCCTGAGGCAGCTGTATTCGTTTATTCTTTAATTTCCATCCTCTTTTATTTCTGGATTAAAAAAAAAAAGATTTGGACCAAACAAAGACTTGGACAGATACAAGAATACAAGGCGTGCTCAGACCTTCCCTTCGTTTTGTTAGACGAGAGTCTGTGCTTTGCTTGTTTATAACAGAATAACAGAGTTGGAAGGGACCTTGTAGGTCATCTAGTCCAACCCCCTGCTTAAGCAGGAGACCCTACAACCATTTCTGGCAAGTGACAATCCAGTCACGGGACTGTACCTTATGTGGGTTTAATCAGTTTAATTAGAATACAGCTGGAAGGGACCTTGGAGGTCTTCTAGTCCAACCCTCTGCTTGAGCAGGAAATCCTACACCATTCCAGACAAATGGCTATCCAGTCTCTTCTTAAAAACCTCCAGTGAAGAAGCACCCACAACTTTTGAAGGCAAACTGTTCCATGGGTTGAATGCTCTCACTATGGAGAAATTTCTCCTCAGTTCCAGGTTGCTTCTCTCCTTGATTAGTTTCCACCCATTGTTTCTTGTCCTGCCCTCAGGTGTTTGGTAAATAAGTTGACTCCCTCCCTCTTTGTGGCATATTTCAGTTCTGGAGGTTTAAAATCAATATTTCTTCTGTGGAAGTCAAAGAAGTCTGACAGATTTAAAATGCTAGCTGTTCTTTACTTATTTAAATGATTTGTAAAGCAGCTCAATTCAACATGTGATTCAAGAAGTGCCACAACAAACAAAAATAAGAATTTTATATATTTATATTAAAGAAAAATGACAGGAATGGTCAACCAACCTGGGAAGGACATTTGGGGGGATTTTCCTCTTCAGCACATAGCAAGACATTGAGTGGATTTGCCCAACAATCTAAGCCACCACATGATTTATGTGTTTGTGGTTTAGCATGTCTATAAACCATGCTCTGTAGCTTAGTTTATGTTGTGCAAAGCCAGACGACTGATTTTTTTTCCCCTCAAGTTGGGTTCAATACGTGTGAACAAACAGTGTAAATTTAAGCTTTTTATACAAGCATTTGATGTTACTTAATCAGTGTTCTCTAGAAGTCTGAATTTGGTTGTAAAAGAATAACAGAGCAGACTGAGGAACATAAAGAAGGTGAGGAAAGTAAAATGCTCAAGACTTTGCATTTCAGTTGATTAAATGTATATAGAATTAACTGTGGCCATTGGAAGGGAAATTTCTCAATCCATAATAATATGGTGGATGAGCTGGGAGCGTGCATGGAAGCAACCAGCACTTGGCAGCAAATCTAGTGGTGAGAACTTAATGTTCTGCCTTTGAGAGGAGGAAATAAAGTACCAGAAAGGACATGAACTCTTGATTTATGTGGCTGAAATCTCACGGCCAGTAGTGCATAGAAATGATGGCACAAGTAGGAAGAGGAAATATGAGTTCCTTCATTTTTTCTTCTGCTCACCTACAATTCTATATTGTATGCTTTTTTAAAGTATTATCTGTTCCAAGAAACTCACCTGCCTGAAGAACAAATAAACTCAAGGAAGCTTCCTTCAGAAAAGAAAAGCTAACTAATAAGGAGAACAATAATGGAAGCCCAACTTGCACAACATGGATTCAATTGTAAAGTATTTTGAGGTTCAGCTTATTATCCTGGTGACTCCACATAACTTCTTCCCTAAGAATAGAGATATGGTTTGTCATTGTCTTCTTCCAGGATACCTTTTCAATTTCCCATTTCAACTCTGGTAATTCCTGGTACAACCTCATTCAAATACTAATCTTCCCTGAGGATTTTGAGATTAGCCAAGGGAATGTCTAGAAAAAAGGTGCAAGTGATACAAACATAGATTCTGAGGTGCACATCACAAAATCAAAAGAAAAAAGTCTTCCAATACATCAGATTGAAGAAACCAACTTTGTGCATAATTGTTTTCCAAGACAGTTGAACATCTGCATAGAGCTTGCTTGTAGCTCACTAGCTTTATTGGAGGGTCTTCCATTATGTATTATATTATCCCTCCCAGTAGGTTTTTAAACAACTTTCTATGTGCATTGAAGAATCCCTGCAGGTTACAAAGAATTCTAATCCAGTTGGTTACTTTAATCTGTTTCCATAATGAGCTGCCCAGTTTACAAAACCCTGATGTAATCCAGTGAATCCATACTGGTGTAATCTTTCTGTTCTGAAACAATTATAATCAAAATTGATTGTTTCATGGGTAGGACTAGCTCCATTATTTGATTAAGGCTAAATGCATATCATAAAGTAAGCTTATGTCAGCCGATTTCTGCTACAATAATTTAGGATTGCAGCTACTATATCAAAAGAAATTCCATTTTTTTTAACCCTGGATATGTGGAAGAAGCAAGTTCAGCATTAATGCTACAGTACTACAGCTTTTGATGTGCTGTGCCTTTAAGACCATGAATGCATTCTGAGCTTTCTGATATTTCCCAGAGCTAGGAGTGTCTGATGCAGGCAGGGATGGAAATAGAATCCACTTCAACATCCGTAAGTTTATAAGTCTCTTTATATCTGGTTTCTAATCATCTTTCCATACCTTCTTGCAACTTGGCTACTCTGCTTGTGGCTTTTTTAAAAAAAATCTTTTAAAAAAATCAGAAAGTTCTAAGATGTCATTTGGAGGTGGCAGTTCAGCCGCGAAAAATGCAAGAACATGCAAGAGATCTAAAACTGTGAAGCGACATGCCAGCATCTACACCTATCCTGAACCACCTCATAGGTAAGGAATTGATTTTCTGTTCTATTCAATCAAACAGCTGAAACATGGTACCAGGGAAATAATTCTTCAGGTGCTGTTTTTCTATTGCCTTGGCATGGCAAACATCATCTGTCCAAATTCCCACTTCAGCACAACTATTGATGGACAGCTCTTGAGGGCAAAATCTGATAATGCAGTTCAGATGGGTAGCAACAGAGAGAGAGACCTTGTAATTAAACATACAGTAAATCCGTGCTGACATTGGACATTAGCTCTAGAAAGTTTCTCAGCTTTGAAATTTGAAGCAGAGTTAAACCAAGTATTTGGGTCTGTTTGATGGAGCAGTCACCCACGTTTATTATTTGCTTGGCACAGATTCACACATATGTAAGAGAAGGAAAACCAGACCATTTTTGGGTGCAAATAATATGTAAATCCTCCTCCTAAGCCAATGGCTGTTTGGGGTAAAACAGTGGACTGGGTTTATAAAATCATAAGGATGGAAATAAGCAAATGTGTGTTTTTGTGATTGTTTCTGAGAGAAGCCTTGATAATAATGTGTGTGTTATGTGTGTTTCTTGTGGGGTCCGGCTATTTTTAGCAACTCGGATGAAGATAATGGGGATGAGAAAGTCGACAGCAATGACCCGGAACAGATCTTCCAGAACATACAATTTCAGAAGGAAATTATGGCCAACATTTGTTGCAGGCCATGGCCCATGAGACAAAAACTCAGAGCATTGAGGTAATGGGGTCACTTGTGGAGAATGATTGGTGTGAAACAGTTGTATTAAGGTTGCAAAGCCAATGGTCACATTCAGTGATTGCATCTCCTTGGAGAAAAAGGTATCTGAACTGCAGGTTATTTATCTGTCATATTTATAGCCAACCTTTTCTTCAGAAATACAGGGTAGCTTATATTGTACTCTCTTTTTGCCTACTCTTTCCCTCACCAACAATGAGGCTGAAAGAAAATGGCTGATCTTAAGTCCTCCAGGCAGCTTCAATGGCTTCAATGGCTGAAGGAGGATTAGAACTTGCGTCTCCCCACTCCAATAGTTTCACCCTTGTACCACACTGGCTTTTGGGCTGAGATGGAAGGTTTGGCCCTTAGTCACCAAGGGACTTTCTGTGGCTGAGTGGGGACTTGAATCTGGGTCTCTATGTCCTAGGATGCTATCTTTCTCTAGCACCTTCTCCTTTCTTCTGTTTTTGCTATTTCTTTTACCTTAAACTCTTCTCCCTCTGTCTCTCCCTCTCTTTCTCTCTCCCCCTATATTTCTTTTTTTCTTCTACTTCCATTGTACACAACTATCCATCCTAAGGAAAGAAAAGAGATGCCCTTCTTGAAATTTTCTACCAAAGAAATGGTTTTTCAGGAGTGCAGAGTAGGGTCAATGCTTGTAATTCAGCCACTTAAATCCCTGGCAAGAGATGGCTTTGATAAATTTTACAACAGTCTTTGTGTAAGAAACATAACATTTTTTTTCTCTTGGTTCGAGGACTATGGAGCTGATTTGCTCATGTATTCCTTTATTTCAGATTATAGACAGGCATAGAAAAGTTATTTTTCACTGTTTTTAATTTCCTCTTTCTGGTCAGTGAGGCAATTTTTAATGCTCCTTACTTTCTGTCAGATAAGCAATATGATATAGTTATGGTAGCTAGATTTTGTGTGCAGTTAATAAAATCTGACTTATTGGAGGCTCACCTATTACTTGTAAATAGACTATGACTGTATTTTATGTATTGATCTTTGTGTTAATATACCACTCTTTGGCTTAAGAAAAAGAGCTATGCCAAGAAATGGAGATCCTGTATCCACAATCTTCTCTGGAAATTGGAATAGTTTTTGCCTTCCCAAAGTGCCTTTAACAAGGATGTTTACTCTCTTAAGTAACTGTGGAGGTGGCTAGCATTTCCTTATGTTCAAAGAAACATAAGTATTCCATTTACATTTTTTTACATTTTATTTGATTTGTCAATCGTGTACAAGATACAGGGTATAAGAATAAACATAGTTATGAATACATAAAATGGGTACATATAAGAAAAATAAAAGAAACAATAGGACAGGGACGATAGGCACGATTGGTGCGCTTATGCACGCCCCCTACAGGCCTCTTAGGAAAGGGGTGAAGTCAATAATAGACAGTCTTAAGGTTAAAGTTTTGGGGGTTTGGGGAAGAAACCACAGAGTCAGGTTGAGTATTCCAGACATTGACCACTCTGTTGCTGAAGTTGTATTTCCTGCAATCAAGTTTGGCATGGTTAACCTTGAGTTTGTATCTATTGTGTGCTCTTGTATTGTTACAATTGAAGCTAAAGTATTCATTTGCAGGTAGGACATTGCAATGTATGATTTTATATACTATATTTAGATCGGATCAGAGGTGACGTAGTTCTAGGTTTTCTAGGTCTAGAGTTTCAAGTCTGGTGGCATAAGGTATTCTGCAATGAGTAGAGGAGCGGAGAACTCTTCTTGTGAAATATTTCTGGACTTTTTCAATTGTGTTAATATCAGATACATGATATGGGTTCCAGACTGATGAGCTGTATTCAAGTATAGGTCTAGCAAATGTTTTGTATGCTCTAGTTAGTAGTGTGATATTACCAGAGAAGAAGCTACATAGGATTAGATTAACAACTCTTAACGCCTTTTTGGCTATGTAGTTACAGTGGGCTCTAGCACTTAGATCATTAGAGATGAGTACTCCAAGGTCCTTGACTGAGTTTGGATCCTCAACAAGGTCTTGACTATTTAGCTTGTATTTTATTTTCTGATTTTTTTTGCCAATATGTAAGACAGAGCATTTATTTGTTGAGATTTGAAGGTGCCATTTGATTGACCATTCTGATACATAGTCAAGGTCTTTATGGAAGGTAGTAGTATTGTCTATGGTGTTGAATAGCTTTACATCATCAGCGAAGAGAACACAATTGCTCTTAATATGATCACAGAGGTCATTTATGTAGAGTATGAAGAGAGTTGGTCCTAAAACACTGCCTTGGGGGACACTACTGTTGACAGGTACAGAATTTGATAGGACGCTCCCAATTTTGACCATCTGTTGTCTCTTTGACAGGAATGCTTCTACCCAGTTATGCAGTTGTCCAGAGATACCATAAGATTTCCCCTTTTTTTTTGGTTATTTGGTTTAAACTAGTTGAGTATTATTTATATCATCCATCCTCAAGTGGGGCATCCACCATAATTAGATATCATCTACCCCTGTTACCAACAAACAGAATAAAAGATTGGGAATTATGGTGAAGAAACCCAAGACACCTGATTGGTAGCAGACCTCCAGAGCTGTGGTGAGCTACCTCAGATGAGATGAGCTACCTCCAGAATTTCTCACCCTTTCCCAGCAGTTAAACTCAGGAATATCCAGAATTTAAATTTGGGGATATTGGCATGCCAACCTTAAAGTCTACCCTGGATGAATAATTTGCATACTTTAGTATCTCGTATGTGGCTGCCTGTACCCTGGGATCACATCCTCAGCATTCAGAAGCAAAATGATCCATTTCATCATTGCAACATTTTTTTTTTCAATCTGTGGTTTGGATGTTTTCAAAATTAAGGGTGGGAATGGAATTAAGAAGTTTCTGGGAAGAAAAACCGCTTTCATTTTCATCCTTAACATTTCCTTGCCATGCAAAAAAAAATCACATTGCTGGAATTCAGTGAGAAATTCAATTCATTTTGTATTAATAATGAACAGCATACGTTTAGAATTGGAGGTGGTTGACTTAAAGAGGAGAATAGAAGGTGTTTGCTTCCCAGCGATCTTCTGTTCCCAACCTGGGTCTCTCCCCTCACTCCCCCCCAAAAATTTAATTATGCATTAAAAACTGATATTTTTTCTGAGCTTTGGGCCTCAGTATTGGGTGATCCAGCTTAGCGTAGTAATTGTGTGTTTGGTTTTTATGCTGTGCGATGCAGTCCTTTTAAAATTGCTTTCATGGTCATTGCAGATTAGCCACTCAGCATCCATTGTGAACTGGGTGATCCTATAAAAATGTAGATGAGATAAATAATCAGGTAACAAAGTGCAGCTTTGGCCTTCTTTGTGATGTTTCCTGAAAGGCTGGAGGCTGACTCCTTAAACTTGTCCTCCCCTTGCTCTCTTCTCTACAGTTGTATGATTTGTGGTTCCATAACAAATAATAACACATCTGTAGCTGCTGATTTGTATCCTTCACTTTCCCTGTGATTTTTCTAAAGGAAGGAACATTAAGTTGCCCCCATTGTTGTAAGAGTAACAAGGGCAGACTGTCTTTGTCTGCAGGAAGTCCCACTATTTGGTGCCATTCATTTAATGTTGTTTATGAAAGGGGAATGGCCGGAACCAGAGCTATAATGAGATTTGGGTCCTCAAAAATCCACCACTTTTTTCTCTTGGCAGACAAGCTAAAGAGATTGTATTGAAGTACGAAGGTCGGCTGACTCGGACAAGAGGCTATCAAGCTGCAGGAGCAGAGGTTGGTCTGGTTTTCATTAAAAGCTCCAGAGCTCACTTTTCATGAAAATGAGCCTAGCATTTCTATTTGCAGACAGAAATATTTCTAATGATACCATTGTCATCTCAGTGAAAATGAGAGATATTGTTTACAGATCTCTTTTTTTTTCCTGGCAAAGCTTTCTACCTCTAATGAATCAGGGAAAGATTCATTGGGGAAAATTCACCTGCTGTGTATTATACAGCATCTGAGCAACAACTATCTATCATCTGTAGCCTTTGCTAGGCTAAACTTTTTTCATTTAGCTTGCTGAAATGGTTGTGCTATTGGTTTTGAGTCAAAAGGCTTTCTGAAGTTTGAGCCTTTCTTCCTTCTTTCTTCCTTCTTTTATTAAAATACTTCCAGCAGCAGCTATAAAACTGAGCATGCATTATAAAATTCATTAGCCTTGATTACAGAATAGATTATATGTTGAGTTGGTTTAGAACACATTCACCAACATTTGAATGCCAATACATTGACATTAATCAATGGAATTTGAAAAAGTTGGAGAAACACACATTAAAAGGAAAACTGGTTTTTCTGTTTATGTTTTGGTTCAGAAATACAATATTAAATAGATTTAGCTCAATGACAAAGTTAATTATTGCAGCTACTATGTATCTTGTTTTATATTTCAATACTAAAGTTTTATGAAGATTACAGAATTACATTAAAATATTACTAATATTTCAAATACAAATAAAAATATTTCAAGAATGTAATTACTAGAGCAAACATATTAAGTAAAATACTGGTGAATTGGAGGAAGAAAAGACAGTATCAGCAACGCAATGTGTTATAGACTGTATGTGTTCTAAATGTATGTGGCTATTTTGTTCTTCTAGCTATGGAGAAAATTTATAAGGCTTGCATATAACTTCATGGTCATCTTTATTCCTTGGGAAATGAGAATCAAGAAAATTGAAAGTAAGTATATATGTCTTCAAAAATTCAAAGCATTGAATAAAAATAAAATGCTAGGAATTGGGGTTGGGCTAATTCAAATCCAGTTTCCATAACTTTATCATTATGTCAGACTTTAAGACAAATTTATTTTTTATTTTGGAGCTATGACCCTAAACATGCTTTATCAGAGTAAATTCCATCAAATCATTAAATAAGCATGTAAAAGGCTGAGGTAGAACCATTTATGATTGTCTATGTAGAATAAGTTAAAACACTAACTAGTTAACTAGTAGGCATGGTATCAACATAGTGATTGTCCAATATTGTTTGGTTCTGGGTTACTTGCAGGACTGCATCTCCTCACTAGCATTGGCATGACTTACATTGATCATGCAAGGAAAAGTAGCTGGCTTTCTGCTATTTCTGGAGGTCAGATGGACAGAAGCTCAGAAGGTGATGGAGCTCAAATGGTCTCCTGTTGAAATAGAGCTCAAATGGCTTCCTGTTGGAAATTCATTTGTCCCCAGCCTTGTCTGCCTTCTGGCAAAAGCTGAAAACACCTTTTTTAGAAGACTTTGGGGGCCTGATATGATGTTTTATGTGTTTCCTTGTGTTTAGGTCACTTTGGCTCAGGGGTTGCCTCTTACTTTATCTTTTTGCGCTGGCTGTTTGGCATCAACATTGTTCTCACCATCATGACAGGAGCCTTTGTGGTTTTGCCAGAAGTAAGTGATTCTTTTAGACTTCCAGATGGAAACCAAAACTTGTTTTAGGCCAAGAGGGGACAATTTGATCTTGATTGAAGGCCCTGAAATGCCTCAAAGTACCTTGAAGTGACTTGAGGACATCATTTGTGGTATCATATGAACCGAATACTTGAAACAGTCTGGAGACAAATTCAATAAATTATTTTCTACATGAACTGGGCGATGTACAAGTGTTGTAAAACCTACCTGTCTACCTACCTATCTAATTTCCAGACTTCATTTTGTTACAGATCTTGGCTGGAGATGCCTTTGGAACTACTCCCAACAAGCAGATCCCCAGTGATCAGTTTCATTCTGCACAAGATCTGGATACCATCTGGTCTTTGGGGGCAAGCAAAAAATCTTCCTAGTAGACACACACACACACACACACACACACACACACACACACTTATTAAACAGAAGTGCTACTGATAATTATGTTATTTCTATTTCTATAGGGTTACCTTCAATACTCCGTTTTGTTCTATGGATACTATGGGCAGGCAAGGAAAATTGGGAGCGCTGGTTACCGACTGCCCCTTGCCTACTTCCTTGTCGGAATGGCAGTCTTTGCCTACAGTTTTATCATTCTCTTGAAGAAGTAAGGCGGGTCTTTTCATAACAACCATCCATTTTAATAAATAAATAAATTATTTGACTTTATCTCATTTGTTGACTAGGAACTGCAAGCAACAAACTGAAAAATGAAGGAGATTGCTTTAGGTTTCCACCTACATTCACTCCTCCTGAAATGTTAATTTAGAACTCCTGATACTAAATTGACATTTCAGAAGAAGCTTCCTATGAAGGAGGTAGATGATGCATCAAGAATATGTCACACTTCTAGAATTACTAATGTTTATGGTAGACCTAGGCAATGAAAGGAAGTGTAAAATTACCCTTAGATATTTTACCCGTCCTTGCAATCTTTACACTTACGATTTTATCTTCTGCAAATTACTCCAGGAGGCCAAGAAGGGGAAATACTTAGCCTGCTTTTTTATTTTTTGTTTTGGAGGTGGGAGCATAGGATAGAGGAGGAGATTTCATTCTACTATCAGAATTCTGATCAGAATTACCCCCAGACCTCAGTGTTTATGTACTTGCTGTTTGCAATGCACTGATTAACTATTTAGAGCACTCTGATCCATTTTTAAGCACTGTTTTTGAATGGACTGGTTCATACTGGCAAACCAAGCACTGAGTTAGTAAGAGAATATGTGAACCAGCTTTTGGGCAACTTAAAGCAAAAGATTGCTTTCCAAACCGGAAAAAAAATCCTAAACCAAAATGTGAGGGATACCTTTCTGAGCTCAAAGCCATTAAATGACCTACAGGAATTTAAGGTCTTCAGTTCTCTTCATTAGGCAAAATGATAAACAAAATCAAATATAAATAGGGTAAAAATAACAGGGGGTGTAGTGATGAGATTACACTTATGATATTAGGTAGACTTAAGAATAAGCTGACATATCTCAATCAGAGACTTTCAAGATCTGGGCTGAAGGATAACGATCTATGGGTCTTTTGGTGGTTATTTTCCAGGATGGCCAAAAATTCAAGACTGAGCCTTGCAAGTGCTTCTGATGAAAACTACACTTTTTGTTGGCGATTGTTTTGTGCCTGGGATTACTTAATTGGCAACCCTGAAGCTGCAGAGAGCAAATCTGCTGCTATAGTGAACAGCATCCGGGTAAGCTAATCAACGTTCAAACGGGAAAAGAACAGCTGCCTATGATAAGTGGATGAGACAGAAACACCAAAATGTTGTGTAGAGTCCTTAGAAGGAGCATCAAAACAAATATATACATCTAGTCAGAAGTTCCTTGAGAGGAAGAGGACCCACTCCTGAGATGGCAAGTGTGGGAGTGCAGCTAAGACTTAAGGTCATAGTCCTAGGAAACCTTAGTTAGAAACAAGTCACACAAAACTGTTGTCTGAATGGGCAATTTTACAGCTGTTTTATACACTATTTTGTTTTTGTTTCTTTTAAGGAAGCTATATTGGAAGAGCAAGAAAAGAAAAAGAGCACAAACCTGTATGTATGCATATAATTTTTCCATCTAGTGATATGTAATTGATCAGAGAGAGAGAGAGAGACTGAAGCCAGATCTCTGTCATTTAAACCTATTATTATATAAGCCACTGAAATGATTTGAACCTCTTTTCTGTTTTACCCTTGTGCTCCCCTCCTTCAGGGCGGTGACAATAACCTTAAGGGTCATTGCAAACATCTTGGTGCTTCTCTCTCTTGCTGGAAGTATTTACATCATTTATTTTGTAGTGGATCGATCCCAGAAATTGGAAAGGATGAAAAAAGAGCTCACCTTGTGGGAAAAGAATGAAGTAAGAGCACATTTTCTTAGCTTCAGACTTTATTTGCAAAATGAGGAAAAAATGGCCCTGATCCTTTTCCTCCTTCATGGAGCTATCTATACGGTTTATGAGCCATGATGGTGAAGATGATACTACATTGGATATCCTCTCAATGTGCATGTGGTTTGGGATGCTTGTTATCCACACTCCTGCAAAGCTATGGGAGAAATTTCATTCCATTTGTATTTTGATACCAACTTTCTTCATTTTAGACTTTCAAATCAATGAATAAACTGAAACTTGACTGTATTTTGAAATACCTGGGGCTCAAAATGTTTGCATGCTCACTTTTAAGATATCATATAAGAATATGTTAAGAAAACACAGGTCCCCAAAGGCATAATTTGTTGAAAATATTAAATACATGCATTCTATCACGCAAAATCTCTTGCTGAAATCTGGCTTTCAAGAAAATGAATATGAATAGAAATACCCATACAAAAAAATGGGTATCATTCTCTCTAAATGCTTTTGTTGGTGAGTGTTTATGCCCAGGATTGCTTAATTGGGTGCATTTTTGAATTGTGACAAAGATGACGTCCTATCTCAGTGAAGAGCTATATTCTGATATACATGATGCTTTAATAGTTCCATAAAAATCAAGCACTGTTTTCTGAAAACAGCACATTCTTCTCTTATTTCCAGGTGAGTGTGGTTGTCTCTCTGATCACCATGCTTGCACCATCTGCATTTGAACTGATAGCTGCATTAGAGATGTATCACCCCCGGACTACTCTTCGCTTCCAGCTTGCCAGGTAAGGGAAATCAACTGCATCACAACAACAGCAAAATGAAAATGGCCTCTGATGTAGAGGTGGCAGCAGGTTCTGACCAGTTCTGGGGAACCAATAGCGGGAATTTTCAGTAGTTCAGAGAACTGCCAAATCCCAGCTCTGACTGGCCCCACCCCCATCTATTCTCTGACTCCCATTGAGTCCCATCTGATTGGCCGGGTCTTCTTTTGTTGCCCTGCACAGGAGAATGGAGCTGGAAAGCAGGTTAGTGGGGTGGGGAGGGAATGGGATTTTGCAGTAACTTTCCCACAGGAGTGGGGATGTGACAGATGGAATAGGAGTGGGTTTACAGTGGAAAAAACATTTGCCAATTTTTGTCTCTTGGCCTTTTTTTCCCCCACCAGAGTTTTGGTCTTATATTTGGGAAATCTCTACAGCTTGATCATTGCACTTCTGGATAAAGTGGATAGCATGAGCGTTGTTGTAAGTTGCAAGTCTTAACCATCTCTGGTAGCAAGATGGTCTCTGTGCTTTGCAGTAATCCCCTTGAAACAAGTAGGGATTTTGTTGAACTAAAACACCTCAGCAAACAGTTGAAGCAGAATTATGCGTCTGAAACTCTCCAATACTTCATTGAAAATAAGGATAAAGTGTTAACTCCCTTATATTCTGACTTGTCCCTTTCATTTGTAATATTTATTTAAAAATATTACCTCATAAATATGATCTCATTTGGGTTGGAATATAAGAATGATTTTATAACAGAAATTCAACCCACATGATTCGTGACATGACAGGATAAGTTGTATTACTGCAGGTAAAAAAGAAATAATATATCAGAATAACAGAATATTCAATTCATTTACTTCCATCTTTTAACCAGGGATGTGCTGGTTGTTGTGATTGCATTCTAAAAAGTGATATTGAAAAGACAACATTAAGTATACTCATGATAAGAACTAAACATGCTTTGATTGAATTTAAACGTTTTAAATATTTTTTTTTCCCTCAGCACACTAGCAATTATAATATAAGCAGTAATTTGGGGGTAGGAGGGAAACTCCAGGCTCTGCTGCCTAGATTTTGGCAAAGTCCATTTGTATTTTTGAGGCTGCAGGCTGTGACTTAAAAGCTTTAAACAGGACTGGAAAGGTGGAAGGTCCACTCTCTGAAGTTATATTTCAATGTATGATTTCAGGAGACTGAAATTCATAAAAATAGAAGCAAGGCCATGGATACCACTACCTTCTTAGCAGCAAAAATCCTTCTGGAGCACAACTTTTCAACCCCAACTCCAAATATGCAAACGATTAAGAATGGCACTTTCCTTCTATCTGAGAATCACACCCAAAGCTATGCTCACCTGGTTGAACTCAACAATACAGCACCTTATGACTCCAACGGTGAAAGTCACCAAAGTCAATGCTGGGAGACCTATGTTGGTCAAGTATGTCTCATCCTTACTCAAGCTATTTTTTTTCCTGTGAAGGCACCAGAACTGAAGAAATGTTTGGCATAAAGATCAAGGGAGACCTATCTTCCCATTCTTACTATTTTTGCTTCTGCTGTTTCTAAAGTATCAAGGACACTGCTTTCTTATTTTTTTTATAAATACTACACTTCCAAATATGTTACCCATTTCAATGTTAAATGCCTAGTAGGTAGTAATACATGTTTTGGGTTGTGTATTTTTTTTAAAGTGTTACCATTGGTCATTGCATTCTGTTTGTGGTTTGTTTCAGGAGATGTTGAAATTGTCAATTATCGATATGCTGTTCACAGTAGCTAGCATCCTCCTGATTGATTTTTTCCGTGGGCTTTTTGTCCGGTACTTAAGTGACTGCTGGTGCTGGGATCTGGAAAGCAAGTTTGTGAGTATAGGTTTAAACAAATAATAAAAAGGTACAAATTGGAGCCATGATGGTGCCATGGTTAGAATGCAGTATTGCAGGCTGACTCTGCCCACTGCCAGGAGTTTGATCCTGACCGGGTCAAGTTTGACTCAGCATTCCATCCTTCTGAGGTTGGTAAAAGGAGGACCCAGATTGTTGGGGGCAATAGGCTGACTCTGTAATCCACTTAGAGAGGGCACAGTGAAGTGGTATATAAGTCTACGTGCAATTGCTATTGTTATATTCCGTGGATGTATGACCCTTCCTAAATCTTCCTTCTCCATTGCTTTCAGTGAGTGGTGCATAACACTTTCAGCCAATAGATGGCAGTGTTCCATTTATTTCATCTGAATCCATAAACCAGAGAGCAGATCTCACATTCACAGAATGCCTTAAATCAGTATTTCTTAAAGTCTGGACAGAGGACCCCTGAAATCCCCCAAGACCCAAGCAGTTGTGGCAGCAAAGATACCAGAATTCGTAATACAGTAAATAATGATAAATATAACCCATGCAAACAGAAACTCTTTCTTCCTACATAATTTTTTAAAAGGGTCAAAGGGAACTGAGAGAAAAAAGTGCAAGAAACATCACCCCAGATGTATTTCTTTAAAAAAAAAAGAATTTGTTACTGAATCTTTTGTTGTTGTTATTATTTTGCAGCCAGAATATGGGGAATTCAAAATAGCAGAAAATGTCCTGCATTTGGTCTACAATCAAGGGATGATCTGGTAACAAATTAATTTCTATATGTTAATTTTAGAGATTGTTAATCTTTGAAGAACTTACAGTCATGTTATCTTTGAACCCCAGACTGTAACTGCGTTCCAAAAAGGGAAATTGTTTATTAAGGGTTGTACAGTGTTAGCTTGTCTGCATTAGTAGTTCCTTGATTGGTGCATTGTTTACTTGATAGTTGGTCTATCTTGGTTTGAATCTCTGCTCATATGGGTGATGGCCAAATTAATCTCTTTATGTTGGCCTTGCTCATCAATAATCCAACCCATCCCATTCTGAGTGAAGCTAGGAAAAACTTGTTCATTAATTGCTTACTTCCTAAATTAACACATTGACGAGTGGGCTCCGGTTCTCCCCATTCCTAGGATGGGAGCCTTCTTTTCCCCTTGCCTGCCCGCATTCAACGTCCTCAAGCTGATTGGGCTGATGTACCTGAGAAGTTGGGCAGTGTTGACCTGCAATGTCCCTCATCAGCAAGTCTTCCGAGCTTCAAGGTTGGTTAGTTACTTCACATATAGGCCTGTATCATCACAGAAACAGCAAAACACAAATGCTTCTACAGACATTGTTCTCAATGTCAATGGTGAAAATAAAAACAAAATGAAAAGAAACATTTAAAGATCAAAAAATCAAAAAGATTAGACACCTGCGTTTGTTTAATTTGACTTAGCTTTTTAAACCTAAAAGTTAAAACTTATTGGGTGTACTCACAAAGCATAGAATCGTAAGGCTGGAAGGGATTTTGGAGGTCTTCTATCTAGTCCAACTCCATGTTGGTACTTGGCCTTATAGTTGGGGTTTCAAAAGGCCTTAAAATACTAGGGATGTAGGGCAGGGGTGGGATTCAAAAATTTTAACAACTGGTTCTGTGGGCGTGGCTTAGGTGGTAGGTGTGGCTTGGTGGTCATGTGACTGGGTGGGCATGGCTTGGTGGTCATGTTATAGGCTGGGCGTGGCCAACTCAATATCACTCACATCGAGGCACGCATCTCCTCGCCTGGCTTCTCATGACTGTGGGGATGCTGCAACAGTCGTAAGTGTGAAAAATGGTCATAAGTCACTTTTTTCAGTTCCATTGTAACTTTGAATGGTCACTCCACACAAGCAAAGTACCAGCAAAGGAGGGGGAAAAAACTCCAGAGACGTTCCTGAAACAGGAAGTCTAGTCCTACCAAGAATGTAATAAGGGTTAATGGAGAGGCAGTTTCTGTAAGCAACACCAGAATGTTTCCTTCCTGCCCTCCTTACAGGATTAGGCCAGAAATTTCTTCTAACAACCAGTTCTCCGAACAGCTTAGAATGTTAACAACCTGTTCTAGCAATAGGTGCGAACTGGTAGAATCCCACCCCTGATGTAGGGTATGTAACACTTTGTGTAACAATGTGACCTTCCTTTTCAGATCTAACAACTTCTACTTAGCTATGCTTCTATTTATGCTCTTTCTGTGTATGCTCCCAACTATCTTTGCCATTGCCCGCTACAAGCCATCTCTAACCTGTGGCCCATTTAGGTAAGTGGATACTGGCATTGCTTCATTTAACATTTTAAGCAACATTTTAAGTAATCATTTACTTTTTTAAAAAAACAGGGAAACCTCTACAAAATAAAAGTTCATTCCACAGATAATGTTATTGGAAGATATTGTGATTGTGGAGTGTTGATTTCTCATAATTAGATAGCTCTATGTGTGTATTTTATGCAACATTGTCATAAAATGAAAATAAACATGCTATAAAAATAAACAATATTTGAAAGTTTGGGTGCAGTAAAAAAAAACTGGGTAGAACTGGGATAGGCTGCTATTCAGATTGCTGATCTACACCTCTTAATTGGCTTTATTTACTTGGTCTTCTGAGAGTTGAGGTTCAGCAACAGGTGGAGGTCACAGGTTGCCTCTCCTCAAAATGAGGTAGATAAGAAGCCTTAAGTTCATCTTGAAAAGATTTTAATCCCAAGTTGTTTTAGAGGAAAGTTGTGGTCTATTCTAGTATGGACTTTATCCTTCCAGTTTGCTCAACTGGTGGTTATTTTTCCCCAGGAAAATAAAAGGCACAAAGTTTTCCTAGCTCAGAGCTTGGCTGTGAACAGAAAATTATTTTGAAATGTTTAATATGCTGCAGATTTTCTTAGACAACAATTGAATGTTTTTCATCTAGCGGGCAAGAAAAAATCTATGACATTGTGTCTGAAACTATTCGAAATGACTTTCCTCCCTGGTTCAACTCTGTGATGGCTTACATCAGTAGTCCTGTGGTGGTTCTTCCAGCTTTGTTATTACTCTTGTAAGTCTAAATACTTTTATTTGATTTTATGGTCAGTATTTTGAGTGGATGCCAAGGTATGTGTCCAGAAGAATCCGACCATGCCATTATCCTGGGAGAACTTCCATTTTAGCCAGCAAATGAGAAATACTGAAAAAGATCTCTGTATTTAGATAGCTAATATGTTGGGCTATGCCTAGTGACTTTTAAGTATTAATCATGTCTGCTCTGGCTTAGTTTCTAAATCCAAATAAGGTGACTATTTGCCAGTTGCTGGGAAGAAATCTTATTATGGAAACAAATTATTGTAATTATGTTTATTCAGGTCTTTCAATTTAGTGTGATGTAAATCAAAGACATCTCTCCTGATATTTTTTTCCCCTCCAGCATGCTAATATATTACCTGCAGAGTATTGCGAGGTCATTAAAATTCACCAACAACCAACTAAGGATGCAGATCCAAACAGTAAGTGTTGACCAAATGTTTTTGATATTTTTTAAAAAATAAATAAAATTGATTCTTAACAGAAAGAATGAATCAAACGGTAAGTAGCAGTGCAGATCACTTTTATACCCACAAACTTTATTCGATGTTTGAGCACGGTGGTTTTTATCAACAGAAATATTATGTAAGGCTAAACTTTTAACCAAGTAATTTGGAGTCTTCTTTTAGGAAAGAACTGAAGACAAGAAAAAAGTGGTCAAAATGGCAGCAGGTGAGTGGAAACTTCCATAAGGAACTTGACATTGTTGGACTGTATGTTCAGTCATCTTTTTCACAAAATGCAACCATAATCAAAAGCAAAAGCAGTCATATGAAACATACAGAGACTAGCCTAGTTATATTTACTGGCTGCAGAAAGAATCAGAAGTTTGTGACAAATTTCAGAGCAATGCATTAATTAAAGAATCAGCTTTTGAAATTCTTAGAACCTGAGCTACAATCAGAATTCAAGCATTCTGCAAGAATTCTGAGCAACCTGTTCTCACTGAGGTTTTGAATTTAAGAGTGCACTAAGACATACTTCGTTTTACTTTGGTTGTGGCTTGACACGTCATGGTTTATGGTTTAGGATAATGTGTTAATTCAGCTGCTGGTTCTTGTTTAACAAGCCATGATTAAAGTACATCGCATTTTAACATGATGGGCAAATTCAGCTGGAGGATGCTAGTTGAGTTACCAGGGTTGTGCTTGGGTACTCTCATGCATGGGTCAAATATGTACCACACTGTATTGACCAGTTCCAGCTGATGACTGAAGAAGCTATGATTGATTTTTTCCTAAACTTTATTTTTTAGCTAGAATCCAAAACGTGGAAGGAAATGGCAAGAGGCCTGAACAGGAGACTGACATCATCAGTCAGGAGTCTTCAGCTCGGTCCTCAACCCCTAGGAAAAATGGCAGTGTAGTAAACTTTGAGTCTCCCAAAGCCAGCCAAATACAGACAATATCTCAGTCAGTACCACCACCTGAAATACTGAAAGCAGCGGGGCCATCCCCAGCAAAAGATAATCCAGGTGCTCCAACACCTGTAGCACCGATACCCGTCACTCCAACGCCTCCTATTCCTGAGATGGTGAAGCCTAGAACAGAACCTTCAGTCAACAGGTAAGACCCTTCTCAGGAACTAGAGAGAAACCAGAAACAGTAACTGGCCAAAGTCACCCAGCTGGCTTTCATGTGGGACTAGAACTCACCATCTCCTGGTGATTGGCCCAGAGTCATTCAGATGGCTTCATGCCTAAGGTGGGACTAGAACTCACCATCT